TCGTATGGACTGATATTTTCCAAATTGGAATTATTTTATTATCTCTACTTATGATTTGTGTAATCGGTTTAAATACCACTGGAAATTTTTCATCATTATGGAAAACAGCACTCGATGGTGGAAGACTCGATATTTTGAAGTAAATTTCTTTAGCAAATTCTAAAAAAATATTTTGGTTTCCAGTTTTAATTTAGATCCCACGCTGCGTGACAGTTTTTGGACATTTATGATTGGTTATACGTTTCAATGGATGATTTATGTCAATATTTCGCAATCTGGAGTTCAAAAATATCTAGCACTACCAACATTTCGTCAATGGATTTGGTAAGTAAAAATACACAATTCGCGCACTTTTGACAATTACACAGGTCAACAAGGGTTCGGTAACATTGATGACAATTTGGTCAATAGTAGTTTGTTACTTCCTAAATACCAAAATGCCTTTAGTTTTTTGATAACACGTACCGTTTATTTGTTGCATTTTTTACCAATAATTTAATTAATACATTTTCTGCACTTTTTTTTCAATAAATATGGGGGCTGTCAGTGACGAACAAGGGGAGAGGTTACACCAAGACATCAGAAAGATGAAAGAATGCTATCAAGGCCGCTGGAACCCTTCCATGATGGGTGATTACTGTTAGCTTTTTTAAAACGCGACACTAACGTACCTAACAAAAGAAAATGTTGAGATTTCACTCTTTTATTGTAATATATGACTTTTTTAATGTTTCTAAAGTTAGTTTATTAAAATATTGTATGCTCATAATAAAATAAATTAAATAGTTGAATTATTTTCAGTACTTTTTTGCTTTAACATGGGTGTCAGAACGAAGTTGGTAACATACGAATGATGCGTGATGAGACATTTTTGTGAAAATTTTCGAAATCAGAGTGAAAAATCATAAACGTGGAAGGTAGTTTAATCAATGTTACCAAAAATTTGTTCAAATTTGTTGACCAGTGTTATTATTGAAAAAATTATTTATTACACCCCCTTATAACTTATTTCTACTTAGGGCAATGGTTTTTTATGTGATAACAATGGAAATAGTGCATGTATTTTGCATTTTATTGGGTCTTTTATTCTACGCACATTATGCAAATTGCGACCCTTTTATTAGTGGAAAAATACAACGACACGAGCAGTTATTATCATATTACTCTATGGAAATCGCTGGCCATATTCCTGGAGTAACTGGGTTTACTTTGGTTGGACTGTTCTGTGCTACTTTGAGGTGAATATACGCTAAAAAATCACCTTTGATATAAATAAGTAATCAAATAAATAATTTGTAATATTTTAGCACTATATCTTCAAGTCTGAATGCAATCTCTGGCGTCATTTTCAAAGATTTTGTTTCGCGATATTGGAAAAGCAATATTGAAGAAAAAACGTCCGGAAGAATTTTAAGATCAATTGTTGTCATAACTGGTATTTTCAGTATATTTTTAATATTTGTGTTGCAATATTTGGGAGATCTTCTCCCTCTTTCAATTACTGTATCTTCTATGGGATTCGGACCAACGTTAGGTGTATTTTGTTTAGGACTTCTTTTTCCAAAAGCTAACGCTAAGGTAAAATGATTAAACAAAATCAAAATTACTTTCATGATAACTCTAGGGTGCATTTTACGGTGCTGTTTCGTCATTTATCTTTCAAACTTTCGTGTTTATTGTCTCAAAAGTGTATCGATACAAAAAAATCATTGTTGATGTTCCTAAAACGTTTTCTGTGAGTGGATGTTGGACCAATACTTCTTTGGCGACTAACAATACATTTTCCAACAGTTTTATTCAACCCAACAACGTTACTTCACATTCAGAGTACAAGATTATTGTAAATTGTGTTACAACTAATAACTATTTTCGTTTTAGATTCAAACCTTTTTTTATATTTAGGTTGTCGCATTATTACAATTCCATATCAG